TTGGTGGTCATTGTAGAATCCTCTCTAATATTGGTGATCACTGTAGACTGGCCCCTTAGATTGGTGGTTACTGTAGAATCCCCTCTTACATTGGTGGTCACTGTAGACTTGCCCCTTAGATTGGTGATTACTGTAGAATCCCTCCTTACATTGGTGGTTACTGTAGAATTGCCCCTTAGATTGGTGGTTACTATAGAATCTCCTCTTACATTGGTGGTTACTGTAGAATCCCCTATTACATACATGCAAAAGATTTCCAGCTTTGTACTACGTGATTCAGAATTCTCATTCAGTGTAATGCCTGCTAATTAGTTTTATTATGCAGGATTTTTGCCACCTTCAAACCAACAGCAGCCACAGGTGTCACAATACTCAGCAGAATGGTCAGTGTCAGTTGTGTTTTCTAAATATTTTATGCTAAATATGTTGGCCATATTATTTGTGTTTATTACTGTATTCCCTTCTAGAAGTGTGGGGTTGTTGTACTTTAAATAGACTGTACATGCTAAGGCTAGCCATACATGTGTAGATTTCTCCTGTTTAGCCTGTGGGCCAAAGGAGAGAGGTCACTTGATTCCTCCATCCACATTATAGAGCCCCTGATGGCTATTGTATTCAAACAGCCACAGCACACATGGCTGCCTGAATACTTGAACAGTGACTGCATTTAATTGGATGCAGTCACTGTTTGGCCAACAGTTTTCTACCCAGCTCCTTTGATTTTGAAATTCAACTTTTGTTGAGCCGGATGCTGCTGACAGGGCCGCCCAGAACTCAAATTCAAGCGGTGCATGGCCAGTTTAAAAAGGTGAGGCTAGCTAGCTAAATAAAAACATACATGGATTTTCCCCTTCTTAGCTGTATTTCTGTCCTTATTATGATAAATCTTCCTTTAGATACAGTATTTTTTATATGAATGCCTTTCCCCTAAATAAAGTACATTTCCTCCTAAAATGGCTTGCTGGGTGCACAAAAGGTGTCCCTGGAAAATGTTTTGAAATGTTGGCAACTATGTTATAGGTGGACTAAGCATTTTTTTTTTTTAAATGCTGAGAGTTGAAATTCCAAATACCAGAATGGAATAAAGGTGTTATGGAAATGCATGCAGCATTCTCTGAACGGAGGAAATGAACATAATAATAAGTTCAAAAGCTTATGTGGGCACTATTGTCCAAGTTCTGTGGCAGGTCCCAGCCATCGGAGATGGAAACAATCATCCTGCCCATTTTTCTCAGGGAGATACTGTATGTTCTATTCTAGGTAGGGATGCGCTGATATTGGTTTTGTTCGGTATTGGGTACGAGTACCGATATATTTTTTGGTACTCGACGATATTGAATACCGATACCAATGTTGTGTGCCCCAATCATCAAGAAGCCAGATGGTGGATCGTGCCCCAATGCCTAGTGATTGCCTAGGAAGCCGGTGTTCTATTGAAAGAATACTGCCCACACTTTCTGAGGCTGCCTGATTTTCTGACCAATCAGAAAGCCGGGCGGTGGGTCAGGAGGTACCGCCCGGCTTCCTGATTGGTTGGAAGACAGGCTGTCTGGCAACAAGTTAGGCTTCCTAGCCATTTTGGAAGCCGAGAGGCGGGTCATAACCCGCCACCTAGCTTCTTGATTGGAAAGGAAGCTGGTTCCATGCTCCCTCAGCATTGCCGATCAGAGGGAGATCTCCCTGTGACCGGAAGTTTCGGTATCGAAGGTAGGTATCGGAGCATTTGGGTGGGTACAAGTACTTTGGATTTTTGGGGCTTTAATCCTTGCAACTAACATGCTACACTGATAAATGATAATCAACATAGTCAGTATTACTCAATCACTAGTGTGACATGGTCGAATCCTGAAGGCATTTCTTCAGACTTTCTTGTGCTTTCAGTTTTGTAACTAACTTCTCTGGTTTTAAAAAACAGTAATGATGAGTATCACAGTGGCGTAGTGGTTAGCACTTCTGCCTTGCAGCACTGTGGGTCCCCGATTCAAATATTAGTCAGGATACTCACTGCAAGGAGTGTGCATGTTCTCCCCGTGCTTGTGTGGGTTTCCTCTATACTCTGGTTTCCTTTCACACTCCAAAGACATGCTGGTAGGTTAACTGGCTCCTGTCTAAAATCTTCCCTGTATGCATGTGAGATAGGGACCTTAGATTGTAAGCTCCTTGAGGGCAGCGACTGATTTGAATGTGTAAAGTGCTGTGGAAATTGTCGGTGCTATATAAATACCAATAATAATAAATAAGTATCACATGTAATAGTACCACAGGCCATCTCAGTACGTCAATGAAAGTAAATAATATTTGTAGGTGTACTGGTAAGTCCCTAAGACTCCAATGTAAGGAGGCAGCTACCCAGATAGGTAAGCAGCACACAATTCATCAGGCAAGAAGCAACACGTGTGTTCTCAGGAAAAAGGAGCTCAAACTAAACTTCGATGTAGATGCTCTGATCCTGTTTATGGCCCATTTTGAAGGTAGTCATACCCTGAATGATCCCACATTTAGTCCATATATCACATGCTGGTATAGATACAGTATAATCCAAGGCACGGTTTGTTTTAACTTTGTATGGGACAAAGTGAAGCTGCAATGCAGAGAAATAGAGGGATGGTCCCTCTAATGCTGCATATTTACATACCTCTCTGCTCCGCATATCTTCACTCTGTTGTGGTGTGAATGGAGCATGTAGAAAACGATTGTTTTGTATGTGACCTTGTGGAGAGCTGTGTGCTCAGGTGCAGAGAAATGCAGGTCTCCGCACATAGTATGATCAAGCCCTTTCTCAATAAATTAACCCTTGCAGTGGGGTTACCTCTTTACTGCAAAAATGTAAGTGCTCAATTGGTCTAGGGGCAAAAATAAAAAAGATAAATTCACCTGATCCTCGGTCCTGCAGCAGTCCCTTGGCATCCTCGCGTTCATTAGATGTGATGATGTCACAGGTCCTTAGACTGCCAGAGCCCAGGGGAGAGAAGGCTCCGGGGACTGGTTTAGCAGCCGGATGGGACCGAGGATCATTTTCATCCCTCGACCAAAATGATCACTTATCTCTTACAGTGCAGGGATAGCCCCACTGCAAGGGTTAATTGTTAAAAATCCTGGATTTCCCCTTTAAAGTTGAACTCCCAGGAAAAAAATATATCCTTGCAGTAAGGCTTCCCTGCACTGCAAGGGTTAAATGCTCCTTTTTTCTTAGGGTACCAATAGAAAGGACTTTAATTTACCTAATCTCTCGACCCCCGCAGGCTCCCTCCATGCTGTGTGACTGGTCCCCTCAGCCTTTTCTCTTCGGTGCTTTGCCAGTAGCCGGTCCAATAGCCCGCCATGGTACTTAATGGCGCAGAGGGACCACCCACAACCTGGAGCGTCAGGGAGAAGAAAGTCATCAGAGCGAAGGATAAGGTAAGTAAAAGTCCTTTATCCTTGTGCCCTAGACATAAGCAAACATTTAACACTTGCAGCACAGGGGGGCTCCACTGCAGGGGTATTTTTTCTTACCCTCGATTTCAGCTTTAGGTGAATATTCCCTTCAACTATTCAGGCATGTGAAAAGCAAATTACTGTTTAATTAAATTTCTGCACATGATTGGTGAACCAGAATCTGCTTTTCACATAATTGGATAACTGAGCAAAACTCTCAACTTCTTGAATATATCAGCCTCAATGGGGTTAATTTACCAAAGGAATAGAGACTGTTAATTCTGCAAAGTGAATGTTCACTTAGCTCAGCGAATACGATGAAGCTGCAATCGTTTAATCACATGCAATTAAAAATACTGTTTCCTTTAACACGATTGGGTATTCCAACTATATTCACTAAGCTAAGTGAACATTCACTTTACAAAGGAGACATCCACAATCCGCGGTAAAGATTCACTCATCTGAGTGAACAGGCTCTATTCCTTTCGTAAATCAACTCTAAGGCTTCACTCACACTATAAGTGTTTAGATGCTTTTATATGCACTTAAAAAACTTTTGTGAACACATATACTTTATATGCATCTAATGAATTCCAATGGCTATATTACAGCAGACCTTTACCCATATCTTTAAAGTAACAACAAACACACCTTTAGAAATGTTTAGTAATGACAATCTACAAACACATACTTCTAGATAAGTTCCGGCTTTGTATTCTTTGCATTCCTTATTTCTCTTTTCTTCCCCAGTCTTCTGACAGTGGCCATGTTTACTAAGGGCAGATTACTAGCTCTCGTATTACTTCGTGGATTTCTGGCACATGTGACTAGACATGTGACCATGCACATCATCTCAGGGGAGGAAAATACCTTTCCCTGAGATCTCATGAGATTTCCCAGCAATGCTCTGCTGATGTTAAGGCAATCCCAGTGTGCATTGCTTTGCCAAACTGAAGTCATTTTGCCCTTTCAAAGCAGGAAGTGAATGCTCTGCAAGTGTAGTAAGTATTTCAAAATCACAGCATTTTGCACCCGGCGTGTCTGTTATTATTAATCATCATACATAAGGGGATGCACTGGGAGAAAGTGATTTTTGAGTGTAATGGTGCGGTTTGTGTGTAGATGCTTTTATTTGCAGTCAGTTTATCTGCGTTTTCAACAAATAGAAGTCCGGTGCATCTAGGAACCGATTTGAACTGTTAAACACACCAAAACACATGTAAACGTGTTTTATTGCTAGGATTTGGTGCCAGATGCATCTAAATTCATATGCATGTAAACGCAAATAAAAGCGCATCATTTAAAGCATCTAGAAGCATAAACACAGCATCTAGCCTGACAGATTTTCCTCTACATATAGAGGACAAAAATGCAAGTGTGAATGAAGCTGAATACTTGTGCTCCCTGCCATTGGAGGTCTGTCTTGCCCTTGGGGATTTTCATTTTCTTCCATGTGTCCTCTGCACACTAGTGATCACACATTCCACCCGTGCTGTCATATAGAGTGAGCTGCGCCTCCTCCCTACAGGAGCTCCACACACCTCCACCAAGTGAGTGGATCAGGCATACAGAGAGGGTGTGGGAGAGCTCAGGGCGGGAGGGCAGAGCTCCTGAACTCCTCTGCTGCTCACAAACACTTGCTCAGTCAGTGCAGTGTAGAGCAAGCAGTCCTTGGAAGGTGAGGGAAAGCACAGTGCAGACTAGCTGGTGCTAGATCCATTGAAGCTATGGGCTAGAGGACGCACACAGCCTGGCCACCACTAGTCCAGTCCCCTGGCTGACCATGGCTGCGGGGGCATTGCTGTCTAGTACCAAGCCTGGACCCAGCATACACAATCACTGTGGACTGATCACTTGTGGATCTTAGAACTTTTCCTTGAGTCATTTGGGACCCGCCACTCATCAGCATTACTGCTGTTTCATTGGAGCTGCGTTCATGTGATTTAACCTCTACACCACCACCACCAGGCAGGAGGATGCTTCCTAGCTGCAGGTAAGTCTGTGTCATTTGGAAGTGATGGCAAAAATTCCCTCGTCTGCCTGAGATAACTGACATTTCATGAGGTTCTTTATGTAATGATCAAAGCTCATTGGACTCGGCTGAAAATAACTGTCACATATTTATAAATAATGAACCTTGTCCTGCTGTGTTGGCTTTGTGAATCGAGTCTTTTGTCACCTGACGTTGTCTTAGGATGTTAGGAATAAGGGGACATAACACGTAAGGAATAATCACTGTGCCAATAAAGGTTGTTACAAATTAATGAGCAACTCATTTATCCCAGAGGCATGCACCTGGAAATGATAATTTACATGAAATGAGCTCACGCTATGTGTGAGAACGTGTGTAAGAACGCAAATATTCTGATGGGTGAATGGCATTAATCTGATCTACTACCATTCCAGGCTTTCATTGAAGGGACACGACTGAAACCTTTAAAAAGTGTGGATAGGGTTCAGGAGGGCAGTCATTTGATTAGGAAGCTGAGATCAAGAACATGTGTTCAAGCTAGTAGGAGGCAAGTTCAGGAGTAATATAAGAAAGTATTATTTTACCGAAAGAGTAGTAGATGCTTGGAATGGACTTCCAGGAGTGGTAGTGAGTCAATCAATAGTTAAGCCAGCTATGCACCTTAAGCACAATCAACAGTGTGAATGACTGGATCTCCCTTGCAAGCTAGTGTACTTGTGGTTGCTGAATAACTAAACAGTGACTGCATCTGACTGGCTGCAGTCACTTCGGCTGACATTTTTCCACCTAGCTCCTTTGACAAAAGCCAATTGAGCTTAAGTGAGTTTATATATGTTTGGTATAAACATAGCTTGATACAAAAACTGAAAGGAGACCACTTGGTCTTTTTAATTGCCAATCGGTATTCTATGTTTCTGTGTTTATTTTACGTCTAAGTTATTGGACGTAGATTTGGGAGTGTTTCTGTAGCCTGAAGCGCTAACAATTACACAGATGATAGTATGACATGAGGTCCCATATTTGTTTTTTCTCCAATGTATGTAGTGACCCTAGCAAATGTTATGGTTTTCAGAATTGACAGCTTCCAAATTGTATGCAGTTTTATAAAAATATCATTTCAGCAACTCCTCCTTTTTAATTCTTGTTGAGCTCGGCGTGTTTGGAAACTAAATATAACTTGTTTAGAAGTGGGGCCTCGTAGCCTTTTTTTTCCATACTTGAATAGATTGGCCAATTATTGGAAGTTGACATAAATCCTAAACTGGCACACATGATGCAGTCTGATTGTACAATTGTCTTTAGATTTAAGCTGGCCATACACCTTACATTTTATCTGCAGATTTTCTGTGGTCAGCTGGAAAAGGTGCAACAGATTCCTCCATCTACGCTAAACTGTGTGGATGGAGTAATCTCCCACTGGGGCAATCTGCTGCACTTTTTCCATCTGACCACAGAAAATATGCAGATAATTGTAAGGTGTATGGGCACCTTTACCATCACCGGTGTATTGTGAGGTTCTACCTGGCCCTCCATCCCCTTAATTAGTTTAGTTGCCCTTCCCTGGACTCTTTCCAGCTCCAGGACATCCTTTCTGTGTATTGGTGACCAAAATTGGACCGCATACTGCAGATAAGGTCGAACCAGCGATCTATAAAGTGGCAAAATTATAGATTTGTCTCTAGTACAGTACATTCCCTTTTTAATACAAGACAGTTCTCTGCTCGCTTTGTTTACCGCAGCCTGGCATTGCAAGCTATTATTCAATCTGTGGCCTACAATGACTCCCAGATCCTTTTCCATTTCTGACTTCCCTAGTGGAGTTCCCATTAATGTGTATGTACATTCTCATTAGGACAGTACACTGAGTGGCCAGATTATTATGACCACCTGACGTTTGTAGGCAAATTAGCTATAATTTCGCACTGAAGTTGCTAGAGGGCCAGACCATTATAAATAGGGAAGCAGGTTGTTTACCACAACAGTAGAAGTGATTTTTTTTCTGAAGATACGGGTAAACAACACGATTTAACAGCCTTTGAACATGGGATGATTGTTGGCGCTCGGAGCCATGGAGCGAGTATCAGCAAAACAGCAGAATTCGTTAAATGTTCAAGAGGGGCTCATTGTTAAAGTGTTTAAAGACTGGACTGTCAGCCAAAAAATCTGGGTCTGAACGTGCGAATTGTGGCCGTCAGCGACTAGTCAATGTTAGGGCAGAACGGAGAGTGGCAAGACAACAGAAGGGCAACAGAAGGGCAACAGTGCATCAAATTACTGCATATCTTAATCAGGCATCCTCTCAAATGATCTCTGAACGCAATGTTCGCCGTACACTGCATTGTATGGGATATGGAAGCCGAAGGCCTGTTCCACCACCTTTGCTGTCTGCAGTTAACAAGATAAAACGTCTCCAATTCGAACAGGAACACAAGGATTGGACAGTCAAGCATTGGAAAAAAGTCATGTGGTCCAATGAATCACGTTTCCAGTTGCATCATGCAGATGGCAGAGTGAGAATTTGGTGGGAACAGCATGAAAGCATGCACCCCAGATGCAGGAGTACAACCCTTCAAGCTGGTGGGGGCAGTGTTATGGTTTGGGGCATATTTTCCTGGCATGATTTGGGCCCTTTAATTCATGTGGAACAACGTCTGAATAGGACAACATACCAAAGTATCGTTGCTGATCAAGTTCATCCTATCATGTTGATGGCGTATCCCAATGGAGATGGCTTCTTCCAACAAGACAATGCGCTATGCCACGGTGCTCGTATTGTGCAGGAGTGGTTTCAAGTAACATGATGGAGAATTTACCTTGCTTAAGTGGCCCCCACAATCGTCGGATCTCAATCCAATTGAGCATTTTTGGGACGAAGTTGAAAGAGCCATCAGGCAGCTAGTTCCACAACCATCAAATCTCACAGAACTGGACAGTGCTATTCATCAGGCATGGTGTCAGATTCCTCACATCACCTTTCAACATCTCCTGGAGTCAATGCCAAGAAGAATCGCTGCAGTATTGAAGGCAAAAGGTGGCCCAACGAAGTACTGATGGGGTGGTCATAATAATCTGGCCACTCAGTGTATAAACTCCTGTGTCCCAAAATGTCACAGCTACAAAATATCCTGCTTATTGTGGTTGACCGGTTGCTTTAGGAAACATTTAACTGCCTCCGGGCCGGCCGTAGTAAAAAAACGGCCTGCCCGGAGCTCTCTAGATCTGAGCGGGCGTCTTTAGACGTCCGCTCAGACACGCCCCCTCGCGCGCGCCGCTGGGCAATGGCCGCAATTTAAAAACAGGCAGCGGTGCCTGTTAACATACAAGCGATCCGCCGGCTGTAGAGCCGGCGGATCGCTTGTATTTTGCAACGAT